AGAGAGAGAGAGAGAGAGAGAGAGAGAGAGAGAGAGAGAGAGAGAGAGAGAGAGAGAGAGAGAGTTAGGGTGTGTTCACACACCATATTTACCATTCGAGTGCACAGTCACAGCGTTTTTTTTTTGTTCTTTTTTCGAGAAAACTCGTTTGTTTTTTTTTTTGTGTGGGTTACACTGCTGCAGCCTGCAACAACAGGGAACCCTGTTTTTTAAGGTCTGCCTGCCATAATTTGAGGTCGTTTTTTCTTTTATTCAAGAGACAACCCTCTTTTAAGGTATCTCTAGAGGGTTTAAAACCACAGGGTTTTAAGCCCTCTAGTTTCAGGTCTGCCTCCCTGTATTCGGAGAACCTTGGGAGTCCTTTTTCTTCCGGCTCTTCTTTTACGAAGACTCACCTTTTGTGGGCAACAGTCTGAAACAAGAGGGTTTGAATTCTTTTGAACCCTCTTGTTTCAGGTCTGCTGCCTGCTTTATTCGGAGAACGCCCCACCCATTATCGGTAGGGCAGGGGAGATTCACCTGATGTCAACTGGATAGCGCGAGAGCCAGCATGTCATTGCCAGCATGGAACCCAGCAGCGTTGGGCCCAGAATCGGGTCCAGCGTTGGGCCCAGCGTCACATAGAACACGAGTTTCAACCTTCAATCTCTTGGACATCATTACCATAGCATAGCATAGCACAGCATCACATAGCATAGCATGTCACAGCATAGTATAGCATGGCATAGCATAGCACAGCACAGCATAGCACAGCATAGCACAGCATAGCATAGCATAGCATAGCATAGCATAGCATAGCATAGCATACAGCTCATCATGGCCATATCATACCCCATAGCATAGCTTAGCATACAGCTCCTCATTGCCATATCATAGCATAGCATATCATATCACAGCACAGCATAGCACAGCATAGCACAGCATAGCATAGCATAGCATAGCATAGCACAGCAGCATAGCATAGCGAACCATATCACAGCATAGCATAGCGTAGCATGGCACAGCATGGCATAGCATAGCATAGCATAGCCTAGCCTAGCCTAGCCTAGCTTAGCCTAGCTTAGCCTAGCCTAGCCTAGCCTAGCATACAGGTTCTCCCCCACTAATGGCATTCACTGGCAAAACGATGATCATCAGCTGAACACTTCCCACGAGCTATCTAAGGGCACATATATCCATATATATAAACAATAAAAATAAATATATATACATATATACATATACACTCACACGAGGACTTTCCTGGATGTTTCTGTATTTTTAACTGCAAGGACGAACCCATTCATGCATTCATTCGTGAGAGTCCTGGTGTGAGTATGCCCTTCTATAACTTCGTTTTGAAAAAAAATTAATTCTTGGCATGTAAACCATTCTCTTCCTTGATCTTTTTCCTGTTGTCGAGCTTCAGCAGCCGCATGATCTCCTTCTCTTCCATGGCATCGATGTCCTTGCGCTGCAGCTCGCTCAGCGTCGGTTGCTTGTCGAGCAATGTCCACAGCCAGTCGGGATACTCGCTGTCGTCTTTCAAAGGAGGATCAGAACCGTCTTTCATAATGTTAGCGCCAACTGTAAATTTCGATCTCAGCTCTAAGCTCACGGGGGGAGGCCCGCCGGATGCGGCTTCTTTCGCCTTCTTTCCTCCTTTAGCAGGTGCAGCGGCCCGAAGGCGAAGCGCCCCCCTAACGGCACGAATACAGCCTGCAGCACGCAACATCTTCTTCTCTACCAATGCCGCTTTGCAGTTGTTGCTGCTTTGGCTACTGCTATTGCTGTATCGCTGCTGCTGCTACTGCTGCTGCTGCTTCTACTGCTTAGCTGCTATTGCTGCTGCTATTGCTACGGCTATTCCTATTGCTATTGCTATTGCTATTGCTATTGCTATTGCTGCTTCTACTGCTGCTGCTGCTATTGCTGCTGCTATTGCTGCTTCTTGCTGATGCTGATGCTGACGCTGATGCTGCTTTGGCTACCGATATTGCTGTATCGCTGCTGCTGCTGCTGCTGCTATTGCTGCTGCTGCTTCTACTGCTTAGCTGCTATTGCTGCTTCTGTTGCTGCTTCTGTTGCTGATGCTGATGCTGATGCTGATGCTGATGCTGATGCTGCTTCTGGCTCCTATTCTTTTGGAGCTTAGCTGCTATTGCTGCTGCTGCTTCTACTGCTTAGCTGCTATTCCGCTACTATTGCTATGGCTATTGCTATTGCTGCTATTGCTGCTTCTGCTGCTGCTTCTGCTGCTGCTTCTGCTGCTGCTGCTGCTATTGCTGCTGCTATTGCTGCTGCTATTGCTGCTTCTGTTGCTGCTTCTGTTGCTGATGCTGATGCTGATGCTGATGCTGCTTCTGGCTGCTATTCTTTTGCAGCTAGAGGGGGGATCAATGTCGCATGGCGATGGCAGTGGGGACGGTAGTGTCAAGCCCCCTCCTTTAAATCAACAACGTGCCAACTGGCAGCAATACGCTCTTCTTCTTCTTCTTTCCCAGCAATACGCTACGCCTACGAAGCTCAGCTATGACACAGAGACGCATATGCTAACATGTGGCCCCCCTTTGACTATGAAGCTCAGCTATGACACAGAGACGCATATGCTAATCACTGCGAGAAAAAAGAGAAAAAAGAGGGAACCCAATGACAATGGCGGCCAAACCTCTCCAGAGGCCTAAGCAATAGCTGCTGCTAATGAAGTCTCCCTCTGTTAACCTCTGATTAACCTTTGATTAACCTTTGATTAACCTCTGATTAACCTCTGATTAACCTCTGATTGACCTCTGATTAACCTCTGATTAACCTCTGATTGACCTCTGATTAACCTCTGATAGCTCTCTTTTAACGTCTGATCACTCGCTGCTGACCATCGATGGCGTGCTGTTAACTTCCCATCACAGTGTGAGCCGGTACATGAGATCTCCTGCAGGCATCCAGACAGGTCCTCTGCAATATTTTCTGCAATGACCAGGCAAAAAAAAAGAAGAAAAAAAAAAAAAGATAGATCATGACAGAGATTGGATTGATCAACATCCAATCCAGTACTCAATCACATGAGCTTTTATGTTTTTTTTAATGAATAAAAAATGGAAAAGTAGGGAAAAAGAGAAGGATCCACAGTACCCACGAGTTATCAGCAAATAACCCAAACAAAAACAGCAATCAGAAAAAAAAAAAAAAAAAAAAAAAAACGTGTGACGAGCAGAAAGATATGTTCCTAAAAAAGAGAACTCAGCCAGATCAGCTATATCACCACAAACGTGAAGTGACTCGTTAAGATTTGCACACTCTTTTTCAGCCAGAACACCGGGTCCGCATCCTCTCTTACACTTTTCTTTCCTCTTTGCACTTGAGGGACAACGGATCCAACAAACAAGGATAACCTGGCAGACGAACAGAGAGAGAGAGAGAGAGAGAGAGAGAGAGAGAGAGAGAGAGAGAGAG